TCCAATACTTCCGGGTTTCAGCGGTCCGTAACCCCAAAAAATGCAACCTGAAGCGTCTGTAACCCGAGGTATGACTGTATTTTTCTCATTTACTCTCCTCCGTGTGAAACAAATGACACAGAAACAACATAGATATAGTTTGGTGGCTCAGCAAGATTTTGCAATACCCCTTATAAAGATCTTATTTAACTGAATGAAGCACAGCTGTCCCATGATGTTTTGCTGCTTCAGGAAAAACAGCAAATGCTGCCCCCTCGCCATTACTTCTTCTTCCTCCACAGCCCCACCTCCTCCTCTTTCTCCAAAACCTCCCCCCTTGCCTCTGCCTCTTCATCCACCCCACTTCCATCTTTCCACAGCCCCTCATACACATTGAAGGTGATGAGGGAGAAAAAGGAGGCTGAGGAGGAATGGGTGGCAGTGGGTGGGTGTGGAAGACACAAGCAGGCATGGAGGAGGAAACCACAGTAGCAGGCGAGTGTGAAGGTGTGTTTCTTGGAGGCCAGATTTGCTGCCTGAAGTGGCTGCCTCATGGGCAGACTGGCTCTGAAATGAAAGAATTGCTAGAAGAGCTTGCAGCTTGGGTGAATTAGATTGAAATTATCACTTATATTTTCTGGAGTTCAAATGCTTTATTCATGTAGGAGCAATTAATAGGATCAGTAGAGATGAAAGCAATAAATAGCAGACATCTTGTCTCAACAAGCTCAGATTTTATAGGTGGTGGCCACAAGCAAGCACTGGCTGAATTGCTTGACAAACAGTACCCTTGGGTGGTTTAAAGTAATACAGGCATTAACTAGAAACTCAGAAGAAGGAAATGTATTTGGGTTTCTCCTACAGGAATTGCTTCCACACATGTCACCAATAGTATACTTATTGCACTCTGTATTGTTTCTCTCCCCTCTTATTCACAGTTCCTTACTCATAGCCATTAATTCAGTTTAAAATCGCCGGACTAAGCAAAATACTCACACATGAGAACTGCTGCTTATTTAGGCCTAAGACTACACAACCCACTATGCAGTGAAACTGTGGAAGGAATACAGATAGAGAGGTTTCATTAAAAACAAATCAATTGTCAATGGTGACAAACCAATGGTCTTCTGGATTTTGGAATCTGTTACAGATTCCTTCTGGCGGTTCCCTCACTGTGAGAAGTGAAGTTACAGGGAACCAGGCAAAGGGCCTTCTCGGTAGTGGTGCCCGCCCTGTGGAATGCCCTCCCATCAGATGTCAAGGAAATAAACAACTATCTGACCTTTAGATGACATTTGAAGACAGCCCTGTTTAGGGAAGTTTTTAATGACTGATGTTTTAATGTATTTTTAATATTTTGTTGGAAGCTGCCCAAAGTAGCTGGGGAAACCCAGCCAGATGGGCGGGGTATAAATAAATTATTATTATTATTATTATTATTATTATTATTAGCAAACAGGCCTGACTCACTAAGGATTCAGGTTACCCCTACACATATAGGAGGAGCTCTGAATGCACAGGGAACCCCTACAACTCAGGTCCACATGCAAGGGTGCTGGTGTCTGTGCTGTTTGACTTAAGAGCAAAAAAGCGCACAGGACTTGCAAGCCCTCTCTCAATGTATTATTTCAATGTATTGAGGGTTTATCTGAGCCCCCTAACACAAGGTTCCATATGCTCACTGAGGATAATTCCAAAGTAACAGCACCAGTTCCCTTATTTAAAGCCAGGGTGGACCTAGTCTGATAGAACAATTGCATAAGGGATATTTAGCCAAGCTTGCCTGTAGAAATTCTTGAAGACACAGGACAGGCTCAAAGAACACGTTATTTACAGTCAAAGGAAAACTTTGTGTGAAGTATCTTTCTCCAAGAGATAGAAGACGCCTGGTATTGTATCATATTTCTCCCATTTAAGAGAAGGAAAATAGATATATTTCAAAGTGAGAACGGCTCCAGAAAGTTTAATTTAGGAGGCTAATCCCCTGATATCTTTCGGCTTTGTGTTGGTTTTGTTTTTGCTCGAATAAATTTGGCTAGCGAGGAACAGCAGGACTCCCTCAGCTCCCCCACACTGTCTCTGAGCACCACTATATCATCTCCACCATGTTTCAAGACACAGAGTTTAAATATTTTTTAACCTAGTTCCCCCCACACCCACACTCTTTTCTCAAGATGTTCTGTAAAATGCAGTCTTGTTTCCAGTATGCAGTTGGCTGGATTTCTCAACCCATTGCTCTTCTGCATTTGTAGAAGGGAGATGAAAGTAATAGAGAATTTCAAGTCAGATCAAGAAGATATACTGGTGTCAGAAGTCAGCATCACTGGGCACTTGTCAGAGCTCACAGATCAACGGGGGGGGGGGGCAGTGCTAACCGGAGACACTAGAAAACAATGAGACTTCCTGCAACCATATTTGTTTTTCCTTGTGCATATGCAAAAAAGAGCCTATAACAGACATAGGCAAACTTGGCCCTCCAAATGTTTTGGGACTATAATTCCCATCATCCCTGACATGCTACGGATCATGGGAGTCGTAGTCCCAAAACATCTGGAGGGCCGAGTTTGCCTATGCCTGGCCTATAGTCCTGGCCACTAATGGGGCCCATGGCATGGCATGAAAGCTATGGCATTTAGGGAGAGAAAACCATAAAACCCTCTAAATTGGCTTTAAAACCAAGCCAGTTATTTTTTCCTCTCATCACTTGCTTTGCTTAACATCCAGCCCAATAAAGGCTGCTGGATGACCCAAGAGCTTGCTTATATATATATATATATATATATGCAGGTTTTGGTGTCCTCGGGTGTCTTCCCGTGTAAAAGTTGGGGTGTCTAGGCGACGTTTCGACGAGGTCTCACTCGTCATCTTCAGGCTGGTGCTTTCGGCTTCTTGTTACTGGAACAGAGCAGGATCTCAGTGTTTGAGTTCCTATAAATACTGTTGAGGGGGTATATATAAAACAAAAAGGTAAGGTAATGAAGGAATCATTCTATTTATCTTCTTCTTATGGGTCAACATGGCTACCATTGCATTTTTAAAAAAAGTTTAGTTTTAACCCTTACAACAACCTCCATTGAAATTCATTATTCTCTTCCATTTTGCAGATAGGCTGAGGCTTGAGGCTAAGGAAAAGGGGGGCATCTGTACAGTCCCCTACTACATTCCTGGCAGAAGTAGGATTCAAACCAGGAACTGGCTGTTTTGTAGCCCCATCGCTCAGCCACTATTCTTGCACAGAACCACCCCACCCCAGAGCTGAACAAGATATTAAAGCAAGAGATTACAGCAACTGGTGCATGCTTCTGCGTTTCATGTTTCTGCTACAAAATGCAAAGCAGAGTTTTATAGATCTCGCCACAGGTGGAATCTGAGACCTGCAGGGGTTGTTGAGTCCAAATTCATATGTTAAAGAACAATGATCTCAAAGTCTGTAGCCCATGAAAGCTTATGGCGAAATAAATTTGTTAGGATGCTACATGACACTTTCTGGCATATTTGCTGCAAACATGCTAAAATGACTAGTACTCAGGAATTTGCCTTTATGCTTCTATCCCCTACCAACCCCCACCTCCATGTTATGTTCACACCCAGTCAGCAATCAGAAGAAACAACACACAGGGAGCACAAATGCTGATGTTGATCAAAGAATCAATGTAGAATAGTAATGTAATAATTATTCATTCATACATTCATTTTTATACACTTGTTTCTCAAACGTGACTCAAAGCAACTTAAATCAAAATGTAAGAAGGCATCATTTTTCATTCTGCCCTGTACTTGTCACATGCAGAAGAGTTTCCGTTCCACTGCAGTTCACCTTCCAACAAAAAGTATTGGAGGAAATAGCAGCAGGTGGGAAGTGGAATCAATTGCATGTTGTTTATGGTCTGAAAGCAGCAGCCACGACAGAGAACACTGATCATATTTGCTGGATTGATTTCCGTTCTGGGCATAGGACAAACAAATGAACACTGTCAGTTTCCACTCCCAGTTCCATTTTCCTTGGAATTCTCCAACATCCCTAGTGTAGAAGAAGGTTGTGATGGCTGCATAAGGGGATCCCATGCCAGGGCTACTATTGGTTATAATAAATCAGGCTGATCGCCTCCCCCAGATGCATACACACTCCCAGCCTAATCCCAAAACTTGCTGGGGCAGCACATAAGTGTAAGTAATTAGAATGAGGTGTATCAACAGCTATGCTGTTGTGGTTTCACAGCACAGGATGCTAAGCCGGTGCTGCAGGGACCTTATGCCAGCACTGCAGACAGATAGGGCTGCTGATTTATTTATTTTTACTGGCCCTGCTCCTGGGCTTTTAACAGCAGAAAAGAAAACGGGCAAAAAAATTAAGCAGAGGCTTCTGCCTGTCGTGCCGAAGGAACTTCAACCCCTTAATTTTCTGTTTACGAGGTTGTTGTTAAAGGTTTGTTGTGCAGGGAACTCTGAAGAAGTGCTCCCAGCCAGCTCAGAAGTGGAGCATGGCTCTCACTTATGCTGTATTCAGCTTGGGCCATGCTGCTTCAGGCTTACTTAAGGATTGCTTTGACGTGGAATTTTCTTCAAACAGCAGGCCTTCCTTGTAACAAACTGCCCTGTGTAGTTTATTTAAGGAGCTCAAACCTACACGTCTCTCCTTTCATCTTTACAGCTCTGGTTTTTGAAGCCACTTCAGAGGAAGCCACTGCAACGATGAACCTTATAAAGAAGCGTATGGTTACACTTTGCTTTTCTTGCTTGAACGTGACTCCTGATGTTGGTCCATAACATTAAGTACAGTTGCATTTCATTGAGGCACCAGTCCTTGAAGGACCAGCCCTACCATTAGGCAAAGTGAAGTGGCTATCTCAGGAGGCAGGCGCTGAGGGGCAGGTAGTGGGCTCAGCTGTGCGTGCAATGCTGCCTCCTCTATGCCCTCTAAGTTCAACCTGTTGTTAGGGATGTTGGGGAATTCTAGCAAAAAAAGAGAGAGAAAGAAATGGGAGCAGAAATGGCTAAAATCTGCTTAATCATCCCTGTTCCAGAATGGAAACCAACCCAGCAAATACAATCAATATTTGCGCAGGGGCCATGCAAATTTTCTCTGTATCGTTCCAATTTTAGTATATGTGCTGCTGAAGCTGTTGTTGCTTTCAGTTCACAAATAATATGTAATTGGTTACATTTCTTCTCCATTTGCATTGTGTTTCCATTGTATTGAAATGAATAGGGTGGAATAACATAATGACAACATTATATATGTGATTTTGCCACTGTGGACAGTGAAATGAATAATGTAATTTTTGATGGAAGACAAACTGCAGTGGAGCAGAAACAGTGGTGCATGCAATGAATACACGGCGGTACAGAAAATGCCTTCTTACATCCCTGTCTGCTGTCCTCAGGTGTACTGGAGGACACTGTCCCATCACCAGTGATGAGATAAGTTTCAGCTCCAGCTTCTGTACATGGAATGAGGAAGGTACCATCTTGTCCTCTGCCTTAGGTAGAAACATACCTTGGGCTGCCGCTCGTTCCTTACTTTCTGCTCGCTTGAGTGAGTTAATTACTCAGCAGTCACCTCTTTTTCACAGCTTTTTGAAAAGGAAAAGAAACACTACCCAAGGCTCCTTCCTTCCTTTGGTAAACCAGTAAGCTTACCAAATAGGTAACTGTACAAATTGTATTTAAATATTAGTACCTTTATGAAGGCAATAAAGCTGTTATGTCAAAACGATACTTCTCTCGTTAGTTTAAGGTACAACAGGACTGAGAAAAATGACACAAGGAGGGGAAATCAATTTGCTTGATGAAATAAACTAATTAGGTAAATTACACATCTATGATGATGTTAATCGTGCAAGCAACATGTCTTGTCGTGTTTCGACACTTCGCTACTTTCGCTGACTGTGTCTCTGTGCCATTTATTAGGAAGAACAATGAAGAACCCTACATGAATATGCCTTTGTGAGGGAAATGAAAACTGGAATGTGAGTGGTTGGCCTATTAAGAGATCCCCTGCGTCTTTATTAGCAAAATCCCTGGGTTCCAGATTGCATAGATGCATATGCAAGTAGGATTCTTTGTGCATAGACTTCCCCTCATCAAATGCCCATGCCAGTGCTATTTCCTGCAGTTTCTCCAATGTGTTCTTCATCTGCAAAAAAGACTTCCAGTTTTCTGCCTCTTTCGCAATGCACTTTAAAATTTCTTAATACTATTGGTGGGATCGGGCTGAGATTTATTTAGCATTGTAAGGTTGGTATAGTTGTGTTTTTCTACCCATTAAACATTTCCCCAACAATCTGCAGCCCACTCAGCTCCCTGTGCCTCCTAATCTCAACAGACTCCATGGGAGGAATTACCTTAGCTGTCTTTACTTGGTTTTGATTGGAGTGGTTTTGATTGAATAGTGGCTCCTGAGCTCCTGAGAGTGGCATAGTCACTGATTTTATTTTTAAGGGAAGTTCTCCTTGTATCCTTTAAAGGAATTTTTATTCAATCATTTATTTATTTATTTTTAAAAAAACTTCACTTAGGGAAAACAAGTGAACAGCTGCTAGGTTCACCGTAGGCAGCCCCCCTAATTTCTTGTGCTAATAATAATAATAATGATAATTTTTTATTTATACCCCGCCCTTCCCAGTTTAAAAACCGGGCTCAGGGTGGCTAACAGCAATATAAAACACTGATGAAAATGTGACTTAAAAACAGCATAAAACAGCATAGAATACAACATAAAGTGCAGCATCAATATCAATAAAATTCAAAAATTCAGGGGTCATTTTTGGAAGAAAAAAACCCCCCAGTCAGTAGACACTGAATGATCACCAGGGCTAACTGGCCAAGTTGGTCCTACTCGGGCCAGCAAGGAGACCAGGGAAGAATTTAAATGTGGGGTCCCAGAAAGGGTTTCTTCATAGAAGAGGAAAGGGAAAAGGGAATAGAGGATCGGGCTAATTCAAATTGAAGGCCAGGTGGAATAGCTCTGTCTTAGAGGCCCTGTGGAAGGACCCTAGTCTTCTGGGACAGAGCATTCCACCAGGTCGGAGCCGTCACTGAAAAAGCCCTGGCCCTGGTGGAGGATAGTCTTGCTTCCTTAGGGCCCAGGACCTTTAAGCTATTATTATTCATGGACCTTAGGTTCCTCTGCAGAACATACCAGGAGAGGCGGTCCCGTAAGTACGAGGGTCCTAGGCCATGTAGACCATAGCTGTCAACGTTTCCCTTTTTTAAAGAGAGAAATGCCCTTATTTCGAATATGATTCCTTGCAAGAAAATGGAAAAGTTGACAGCTATGGTATAGACTAGCCCAGCTGAGGATGTTCTGCTCTTTTCAGAAACATGGGCACCCAGGAAGGCTGCATTGTGCAGACCACTGGGAAGATGCTTTGTAGAGGGGGAGGACACACACAATCATACCTTAGCCACTCTAAAACTAAGGTGAGTGCAACAAAAATGCTGAACCCCACCCATGAGAAGTCTTCCAAAGATTTCTCTTCCATTTGATGATTTTTAGTAGAATTCCTGTTCTTGTTAATTAATGGGAAATGATAAAAAGAATGCAGGAAAATGTTCAGTGTAGCACTAGTGCAGATTCACTGGGTGGCTGTAGGGAGCCAGAAGCAAATGTTGTGTGTGCAGTTTTCTATTAAACAAAAGTCCTAAGAATGATATAATAATGAAATACTTCATGGTATTGTGTACAAATCTGAGGAGGAGGAGGAGAGAAGAAGGAGAAGGAGAAGGAGAAGGAGGAGGAGGAGGAGGAGGAGGAGGAGAAGAAGAAGAAGAAGAAGAAGAAGAAGAAGAAGAAGAAGAAGAAGAAGAAGAGAAGAGGAATTTCACCATCACAACAATTATTTCTGTGATTTCTAAAATACACATCAGGGCCTCAGAGGCTTAATATTGAGATTGCTTGTGCAAATAGCCAGCAGCTGTGATTGAGACAAGTTGCTATAATATAATGTGCAAAGTGGTTTTTGTGAATGTCATAAGCAACATTCACATGATCATTTACAAAATAAAATTAATTGGAGGAGGCCGCCACAAAGGATATGCAAAACCTCAGGCATTTAAATGGCAACATTCTTCTATACCAGGAAACCAATGTAGTGCCCTCCAGATGTTGGACTCAAGTTCCCATCAGCCTCATGGTCAGGGATCATGGGATATGCACTGCAACAACAGCTGGAGGTAACCAAATTGACTGCTCTGCCACCCATGTTGATTGTGCAAATTCCCTAGTTTGTAGTATGGCCTAGCACATTTGTTCTGTTGCTTTTCAGTTCTGAAACAACAACAACAGCAACAGCAACATAATCATCATCATTTCCTATCTACTCTTCACCCATAGGTCCCAGCAATGTAAAATTACAGTATTAAAATGAGTTATAACAATTTATGGGTCCTAAAACATGCATCTCAAGCGTCAAAGGCCAGGGTAAATAAATGTCAGATTCACATTAAAACCCTGAAGTAGCCATATCAGATTTGGCCTAACTTTCATTTAAGTACAAAATCTAGCTTGGTTCTGTAGCTCAACACTATGCTGAGAGAGTGCTCATAAGGAAAACACTGCTGGTTCCTCATTTTCTTTTTCTTCCTTGTAACACAAAGACGGGTTTTCAAATTAAGAGAAACAGAAAAGAAATAATAAGATAAAGAAATAGGGAGCTGGAGTGGAAAATTCCTGGAACGTGCTCTGTTTTGACAGCTTTTGTAAGCCTTCAAAAAGTTTGGCTTCTGGGAATTTGGAAAATAAATGGGCCCTAACAAAAGGACTGTGGTAGTTGGTTTGCTGTCCAGCAGTAAACACAGCAAAAACACATGAACATAGGTATGCAAGATCTGCTGGGTCAGACCAAAGGCCTACATAGTCCAGCATTCTACTTCCATAGAGGCCAACCAGTTGCCTATGGGAAGCTTAAAAACAGAGCATAAGTATAATAGTATTTTCCTGCTCATGAATCTATGGAAGGATGTGTCAAAGCCATTTCTGCTGTCAATCTATGAGAAGAAGAAAAAGGCAAAGGAACCTCAGTGTCCCCTCTAAAAGGATCAGTAAATCCAAGGGGGGGAGGTTGGTTTTAGAAAACTGTTGGAGAGAAAGCATCATCCTTTTCCTGAATGGGATATTCTGTTTTATTTATTATATTTATATCCCACCTTTGCTTCAAGGTGGAAGACCTTGTCTTCCCCCTCACAACAGCCCTGTGAGATGGGTTTGGCTGAAAGACAATGTGTGACCTGAAGTTACATAGTGAATTTCAGGACTGAGTGGGGATTTGAACTTTTGTCTTCCAGATCCTACTCTTAGAACTCTAAATACTACACTATACTACACTGTCTCTCTGCCAGATCTGTCACAAAAATAAATCTTTCCACATAAACCTGGTGCAGAAAGACATTTCTGTAAAGAGAGTGCCTACCCATACCTTGATGAAGCACTCCTGGTGGTCCCAAATGAAGTGAAGTATATAGTGCAGGGGCCCAGGGAAAAGCCTTTTTGGTGGTGGATCAGTGTCTGTAGAATTCACAAAGGGATATTGTTACCAAAGATAGCTCTATCTAACATTATGGGCAGTCTAGTAGCACAGAGGGATATATGAAGTGGGGTGCTGACCAAAGCTTCATACTGCTGCAGGGATTGTTTCCCAAAACTGGCTGTCTCCAAAGTTCTTATTGTCTTCTATACTGATGTGTTGATTGTAAATATGCAGGCTCATTTTGCAAAATAATATCTGGCTTCTTATAGGATAAGTCACATTCCCTTTATTCTGCTAATAATCTCTCCAGTGATCTGCACTCTGCAGCCTTCCTGGGTGCCCATCTTCCCTGAAAACTCCATGGCAACCTCAGCTGGGTTATCCTGTAATCAGGAGAAGGCAGGAAAGCTGCATACTGTGTGACTGACAGCTGTTTCTTATTGTTTTAAACTGAAGTATTTTATTTTTAAAGAAATCTGCACGAAGGTTTTTTTAGCCACCCCCCCCAAAGTGGCCATGCTGACCTCGGGGTCCCATGCTTCAATAAAGTATCAGGAAAAGATGTTGTTACTTCTCTTATTGGGCTTTTTCAGGAAGTGCTAGCAGCTGGGGAGGCTGCAGAGCACTGGAGAAAAGTTTAGTGGAAAGAAAAGCAT